GAAAACCCAATTTTCAGCGGGACAATGGCCACCCAGTATAAAGACTGACAACATTTCCCAGGCTTCCTGCAGCTAGGTGAGGATATGTGGGTTGTGAGAAATAGTATGTGCAACTTCTAGGTTGTGCCCAGCGTGCCCTCCCTTTCTCTTTTCCCACTTTCCACTGAGCGAAATAGAGATGTGGTGGTAAGCCATCTAGGACCACACAGACAAGAGCAACAGCCTAGGGACAGCAGAACAACAAAAGAGAAAACACCTAGGATTCCGACCAAAGAGTGACATAACAGGTTTGATGATTTCACAGAGCACAGCCACACCAGCCTAGACTTCTACCTGTGAGAGAAATGAATTTCCTTGTTCACGCCACTGTTATTTTACATCTGTGTTACAAGCAGTAAAACCTATGTTCTATGTCTGACCACTGGTCAGGTTGAGCATCTTTCATGGTTTTTTGACTGTCAGATTCCTCAAATTACCTTTATCCATTTTCCAACTGGGCTGCTTTTTTCTTATTGATTTGGAGGCATTGTTTATAAACTGTGGATATTATTAATTCATGATTAATTGTGCATTGTAAATAACTTCTCCCCATCGAGGTTGCCTCATCATTTTATGATATCTTTGGATATATAGAGTTTTTAATTTTTTTTTCCTTTTTGTCTTTTTTACTGACCGGTAACGGGATCGCAACCCTCGGTGTCGCGCCCGTACCGGGGACCGGCAACGGGATCGCAACCCTCGGTGTTGCGCCCGCACTGCGCTCAGCCAGTGAGCGGGAACCGGTCTCCATATGGGATCCGAACCCTCAGCGGGAGTGCTGTCGCGCTCCCAAGCGGCGCGCTCTCCCGTGTGCCACCGGGCCGGCCCCATTACTCACTTCTTAAAGGTCCCTCTTCTTAACACCATCAGAATGGCAATCAAATTTTAACAGGAGTTTTGGAAGGAACATTCAAACCATAGCAATATGACATTGATTATACTCCCCCCCAAATCTTTTTTCTCCTATCCTCCAAAATTACCCAGTGAGAAGGATCTAGAATGAGGGTTATCAGGCTACTTGGAAGAGTAAGGGAAATCACCCCAAAGTCAGAATTTCTCTACAGAGGCTTACAGCAAGTTGAAATGGCTAGTGTCCTAGAAAGCCTCCTCTATGTCAAGAAAAGTGTACCAGGATCCTGATGGTGCAGAGTCTTGCAGAAGTGTTTTTTAATTTGAGTAATGAAGATAATGAGTCCATTGAGAACTAACCAAGGGCCGGGCAGTCCTTTGACGAGGGGTGCAGAGAATAGAGAAGCTAAAGGGATTTGGATTCTGGGCCTTACTATAGCCGTTCACTAAAAGGTAAAAATGTTCCTCCTCGACATAATCCTTCATTTTGACAAAGAAGTGTTCCTAAGGAATATCCTATTTATTCATTCATTTATTTCACAAAATTTATTGAATACTTATTACACATAAGGAAGAGTTTTGGCAGTGGGGATACAGTTGTAAACTAGACAAAGTTTCTTTATTTGTGGAGCTTTTATATCAGTAATCAAAAGCAATCACTTGAAGAGCATTATGTCATATTACCAAAAGTTAAGAGTTTTGGTTCCTCAAATTACAGATTACTCAGCTATGACTCATGAGTTCCCAGAAACTTCTAATTAGGTCAACTAAAGATTTTAATAATGTATTATTAATACTATTTTTTTTTGGGGGGGGAGCTAGGAAAACACTCCTGCAGGAATTACTCATTTACTGTTTGAATGTCTGACTAACCATAATCATCTGATATTATCTTGATAATATCATTTGATATTATTATCTTGATAACCAAGCCACTTCATCTCTTTTAGAGAAGAAATGATTGAACAACTGTGGTGAGCTTTCTACACTGTGTCTAGTCCACCACTGCCATTGAAGAAATGCCAGATAGCTGTAATTTGACAAATTGACAGTGAAAATCAAAGGATTGGAAAGGACTTCAAAAATTATATTAACCTACCACATGGTTCTAACTAGTACCTATGTTAACCAAGGGACACACACAAAAAGTCTGTTTTATTCTTGCATATAGTCTAGAGAAAATATTCTACAATATGACATTTATTTCTTGTAGTCTTTACAATTAGGAAATTGCCTTTCTTATTTCTTGAGTAACTTTGAAAGGAAAAGAACTGACTTTATGTGCCCCTGACATCCTTCTTGTAAGTAAATAAAATGTTTTTGCTTTGATTTCTTTTATTTTATTCATCGATAAAGTTAAAAACAGCAACAACAAAAAAATGCCACTGTCCTTCAAGGCAGATTTTTAATTTTCTTGCCCCAGTATTGTCAATTTCTCTGATTATTATCACAGAAAATTTCATGGGATATAAAATAGGCATATGACATAAATCTTACTTCAAGACAACTTGACAAATGCTGATAGTGCAGTTCCCCTAAACCTTTTACAAATATAAGTAACATGAGCTCGTTCTTGCTTTAAGGCTGGTTGAAGAGATCAGACAGAAATGTGGTGGGCTTCAGTTACAGAATGAAGATGTCTATATGGCCACCAAGTTTCAAGAATTCATCCAAAAGGTGGTGAGGAAACTGAGAGGAGAAGATCAAGAGGCAGAGCTGGTGGTGGATTATGTGAGCTTTTCTTTGATGTTTCAACTCTACATCAGCAGGATACATATACTGTAAAAAAGTTCTGTGCCTCATCCGTTTGTTTTTAAAATTATAACCTTTTGTTAATAATTGTTTTCTTGAGATATAATTCAGACAACATAAAATGTACCCTTTTAAAATGTGCATTTCAGTGGTTTTTAGTATATTTGTAGAGTTGTGCAGATATCACCACTATCTAATTTTAGAACTTTTTCATCACCCCATAAAGAAACCCTGTACCCACTGGAAGTCGTTCTGTACCCCCCCATCCCCATCTCCTAACCCCAGCTCCTGGAAACCACTAACCTGCTTTCTGTCTCTATGGATTTGCCTATTCTAGGTACTTCATGGAAATGGAATCTTCCATGTAAATCTGGCTCCTTTCACTTTAGCGTAGTGTGCTCAAGGTTCATACGTGTTGTAGCCTATATCATCGCTCCATTCCTTTTTCTAGCCAAATAGTATTCCATTGTATGGATAAATCACAGTTTGTTTATCCATTCATCAGTTGATTCATCAGGGTTGTTTCCACTTTTGGGCTATTATGAATAATGATGCTATGCAAATTCATGTGTAAGTTTTTGTGTGAACATACGTTCTTGGGTATATACCTAGGAGTGGAATTGATCAGTCAAATGGTGAATCTATGTTTAATTTTTTGAGGAACTGCCAAACTGTTTTCCAAAGCAGCTACACCATTTTATAACCCCACCAGCAATGTATGAGGGTTCCAACTTCTCCATACCTCACCAACATTTGCCACAATCTGTCTTTTTCTTTTTCAGCTGTCCTAGTTGGTGTGAAGTGGTATCTCATTATGGTTTTGATTTGTATTTCCTAATGATATCAAGCATCATTTATTTATTTATCCTCTATTTATCCTTTATTATCTTCTTTCATGTTAAATAGGTATTGTCTACTATAACATTTTAATCCCTTATTGTTTCTTTTTATATATTTTTTAGTTATTTTCTTAGTGGTTGCCTTAAGGATTACAAGTAACATTCTTGCTTAAAACAATCTAGTTCAGATTAATGCCAACTTAATACCAATAGTATAGAAAATCTTGCCTGTAATATAGTTCTGTTCCATACCCTGAATTTGTGCTATTATTGTCATACAAATTATATCTTTATACATTATAAGCCCCCCCACAGTTCTATAATTATTGCCTTATGCAGTTGTCTTTTAAATCAGAAGGAAGAGTTAAAAATAGTAATATATTTATACTGACTTTTATATTTATGTACTTAGTTACCTTTACCAGTGCTCTTTATTTCTTCATATGGATTCAAGTGAGTTACCGTCTAGTTTCCTTTCATTTCAGCCGGAAGGACTCTTTTAAATATTTTTCTTGTAGGCCAGGTGTATTAGCAATGAATTTATTTTGGTTTATGTTTATTTAGGAATGCTTTGATTTCTCCTCCATTTTAGAAGGCTACTTTTGCTGGATCTAGAATTTTTGGTTGATGGTCTTTTTCTTTCAGCCCTTTGAATATGTTGTCTCTTGCCTTCTGGCCTCCATGGTTTCTGATGTTAAGTCAGCTGTTAACTTCATTGAGGATCCTTTTAATGTGATGACTTGCTTCTCTCTTGCTGCTTGCAAGATTCCTGCTTTGTCTTTGACTTTTGACCATTATTATGATGTGTCTAGTAAAGGATCCTTTGAGTTTATCCTATTGGAATTTGTTGAGCTTCTTGGATGTGCAGATTAAAGTTTTTCATCAAATTTAGGGAGTTTTCAGCCTTTATTCCTTCAAATATTATCTCTTCCCTTTTTTCCCACCCCTCTCTTTCTGGGATTTACATTATGTGTATGTTGGTGTGCTTGATGGTGTCCTACAGGTCTCTGAGGCTCTGTTTCATTTTTCTTTATTCTTATTCTTTCCTGTTTGCTCAGACTTTCTTCATCTGCTTGAATCTGCTGTTGAGCCTCTCTAGTGAATTTTTTATTTCAGTTACTTTACTTTTCAATTCTAGAATTTCTATTTGGTTCTTTTCTATAATTTCTGTTTCTTTATTGATATTCTCTATTTGGTGAGACATTGTTCTCTTGCTCTCCTTTAATTTTTTAGGCATGGTTTTCTTTAGTCTTTTGAACATATTTATAGAAGCTTATTTAAAGTCTTTGTCAAGTCAGTCCATATCTAGGCTTCTTCAGGGATGGTTTCTATTAACTGCTTTCTTTTTTTTCCTGTGTACGAGCCATACTTTCCTGTTTCTTTGCATGTCTTCTGATCTTTTGTTGAAAGCTGGCCATTTCCAATAATAGGATGTAGCAAGTCTAGAAATCAGAACGCCCGCCTCCCTTCACAGGGTTCATTGTTGCTGATTATTGTTGTGGTGATTGCTGCTTTTTCTTTGAACGTGACTTTCTTGAACTAAGTCTGTAAAGTCTATTCTTTATAGTTTGCCACCACCAAAGTCTCTTTTTGGTTCGTTTAGTGGTCAGCTAATGATTGGGCATAGATTTCAATCTTAAATGCCTTAAACCAATAAGTCTCTCAGCCTTTGCTAAGGGACTCTGTGTGTGTCCAGGGTGCACCTTCAATGCTCCAACCAGCAGTTTACTACTCTGCTGTAACCTTCACACTTCCTTTTTTGCACAGAGCCTCAAGGTCAGCCAGATGAGAGAGATGAGGGCCTTCTCAGGTCTTTTCTGGAGTCCAATTAACCTAGGATTGAATCCAAGTAGCACAGCTTACTAGCTGTATGACCTTGGGCTAGCCTCAGTTCCCTGATATGTTAAATGGGATAATAATAATATCCACCTTATAGGGTGGTTGGGAAAATCAAATTAGATGCTACACGAATTAACCTAGGATTGAATCCAAGTAGCACAGCTTACTAGCTGTATGACCTTGGGCTAGCCTCAGTTCCCTGATATGTTAGATGGGATAATAATAATATCCACCTTATAGGGTGGTTGGGAAAATCAAATTAGATGCTACACGTAAGACACTCAGCATATTCCCAGAACAGTGATTTTAGAAGAGCAAACTATGTGCAGGGATTGAACACATCAATTCACGTGAAGTTTCCTTCATCACATCCTACCAAACACAATGGAAATACCTCATAGAACGTGAGCACTTGGTGTGAGGAAAGGCAAGATAATTTCTTGCTGTTTTTTCCTTTTTTAAAATTACCGATTTCTCCATATGACATTTTTTTTAATAATTAAATTTCCTTTTTTATACCTTGCAGTGATATGAAATTTTATGCCAATAATGCTCTTTCACATATATTATCTCAATTATTCCCTGCAATAACTGTATGAAGCAGATATCATCTCATTTTATTGTTGAAAAAACTGAGCATCATAGAAATTAATTGACAAACATAAATTTGCTTGCTAGGCAATGGCAGGGAGTACAATTTAGGCAACACATATGTAATAGAAAGAAAGTGAAAATTGGGAGGAACTTAAGGAAAGAAAACCTTAAGTGGCACCAGTGGAGAGGAAACCTATCCACAAAGGCATTTTCAAGGATGTACATGAAGTATTAGTTGTGCTCCGTCAGTGCTGCCACTAGATGGTGGTGTTTCCATCATTTGAAGGTCTTTGAGTTCTCTTTCACCTGTGTAAGGAAGACAGTCAGATCTCTGTAAAGCCCAGCCTAGAGCACTTCTGTCATCAGTTGCTAACCTCCTGCCTCAGTGGCCAAGCTGAGCATCTTGAGGCCCAAATCTTACATACGGTTGACTCTTCCAGATGGTATGAACCAGGATCCCGTTGACTTAATGTCTTCCTCTGAGTTAGAGAAATGAGCTTCTTATTGCTATTTGTTATCAAATTGATAAGCACAGAATTTCATTGAATTAACATAATTTTCTCTTAGGTTTCAAAGGAGGTCAATGAAATGACAGTAAAAATGCCCTATCAGTGTTTCATAAATGGACAGTTCATAGATGCAGATGATGGAAAGACTTACGACACTATCAACCCCACAGATGGATCTGTGAGTAATTTAGTGTGGTCATGGATTTTTAGTTTATGCACAGCTGTAAAACAAGCAGACTTTAAGAAGCTACTTTATTCTATTGCTATGCCTCCAAGCACTTCTACAAACGTACTTCATGCATTTCTTTCAACTATTTGATTTTGGTACTGGCTGCTGTTAACCATAGTAACCTATTTCATAATATGAATATTTATGATGATTTAGACATATAGCTGTATCAATACACATCAGAGACATCCCTCAATGTAGAGCTACCTGTGGAAAAAAATTTTCAGACTTTGAAAACTCATGGCAAGAAATTCAGCTTCCCTAAGGCACTAGGAGAAATATGAGTTCATGGAAGGATTCGTATTGTCTTTTAATCCTATTTTTCCACTAACTTTTTGAAGTACCTTTGTATATAGTCATCCTAAATGTGTTCTTCCATAATGTAGTGTAACACATAAAGTACCAATTTCATATTCATAATTTTCATCTTATAATTGTTTCTTTTTCTTTATGGTATTGCTGGATGTATTAATTTTTCATCATAAAATTCTTTGGATTTTAATAAGTAATACACTATTTTCCTATTAACATGAGATTAATTTCAAGAATCATTTTTATATATCTCTTACATAACCTATTTTTACTTACACTGAAATAGACAATATGCAAAGTGGCCTATGCTTCTTTGGTGGATGTTGATAAAGCTGTAGCAGCAGCAAAAGATGCTTTTGAAAATGGCGAATGGGGAAGAATGAATGCAAGAGAAAGAGGAAGACTGATGTACAGGTATGTTTTTTATTTTTTATTTATTTTTTTGGCAGCTGGCTGGAATGGGGATCTGAACCCGTGACCTTTGTGTCATTAGCACCACACTCTCCCAAGTGAGCTAACCAACCAGCCCAGCTATATTTCTTAGAAAAGCAAGTCTGCTACCAATGGATCTTGGCTAACATTGCCAACATTTAAAGAATTCCTGCAAAACATTCTAGTATGCACCTATTATATATGTGCCTTCTGTTACTTGAATCATATAAAATCTCATATATGTGAGTTCCTGATTTTTGTATTATTGCTTGTATCAGTCAGGGTCCTAGTAAGAAAAGAAGTTTAGTAAAGGACTATTTACAAAGTCATAGGCAAGGTCAAGGGAATCCCACAAAGGATAATGAAGCACCCCACGCAGGACTAGCAGCAGGGGGAAGCTGCTACTCCTCCAAGGTCTGAAGGGACAAAGGGACAGAGGAAGGAACTGTCACTAGAATCTGGCAAGATCTGTAGCTGCAGAAGACCACACTGCAGTGGTCTTTGGTGGAGGGACACAGCGGCTGCTAAACCACAGCCCATCAGTGAGGGAGCCAGGGCACTGAATCCCTCAACCTCTTTCTCCTCCTGCAGGTGCCTTCCAGTGAGAGAACAAGGGAGCCAGGTGATGGGAGTCTATAAAGGTCATCCTCCAGGGTCACAGAGCAGGGTGGAGAATGGAAATAGAAAAGCCAGTGGAGATATTCAGCACCCTGTTGTTTTCAAAGACAAATTTTAGATCTACTTGATGTGTAAAGAATAGGAGCAAGGAGGAAAAATACTAAGGCCTGGGAGGAGTATTTTAAATCAGTAACTAAGTATGCCAGGAGTTAATTCGTTTCTATCATAAATTCCATTTTCTGCTTGCCGAAAGCCAAATGTCTGACCTTGGTCAAAAGATATCTTACAGCAAGATCTGGAAGAAACATTGGGGGAAGGGGATTCAAGCCCTACTCTCGAATGGCCCAAAAGGAACAGCTCAGAGAACTACTGAAGGAAGGAAGGAAGGAAAACAAATGGAGGAGGTGAACACAAAAGATGAATTCTATTGCCTAGCCATCATGCAGTCCTGCACTTATCTTCCCACAGAAACTGGACACCAAACAGAAATATGTTGTGTTTGTGATTCATTCCATTTGTTTCTACCTTGTCCTCTTCCGTTAGTGCTGGAAACATTTCTATACCAGCCCCAAAATCCTCAAGGGCTATGGATTGCCCTCTAACCTCTTCCTGTACAGTCATGAACCATCCACATTCCCATTGTTTTCTATTATTGATCTCCTTGATTTACCATGGCTCAGTCACGGTAAATCACTGCTTCTTATACATATATGAGGCAAGTTATACATGCTTTCACCACCTTCTGCTTTCCCTTTGTAATTCTTGAAGCAAATTGTTTATGGAATTATTTGTTTAATATCTATCTTCCCTACTGGACTCTGATCTCCGTAAGGGCAGAGATGTGATCCATTTGTGTTCACCTCTGAATTCTCAGTCCTTAGGATGATACCTTATACGTAATAGGGCTCAGTCAATGTTTGATGAATGAATTTCTTTCACTGACCATAAAGACTTGCAGACCTACTGGAAGAGAACCAAGAAGAGCTGGCAACCATTGAAGCCCTTGATTCAGGGGCTGTCTATACCTTGGCTCTGAAGACTCACATTGGAATGTCTGTGCAAACATTCAGATATTTTTCTGGCTGGTGTGATAAAATTCAGGTAAGCATAAATGTTATTCATTCCAAAAGGAAAAGGGATTAACATTTACTTGTTTGTTCCAGGCACTGTGTCAGATCCACCTTGTATGTAGGTTTTCTCAACTATATAACATGGTTGTCTTAGTTCATTTTGCACTGCTATGACAGAACACCTGAGACTGGGTAATTTATAAAGCACAGAAATTTATTCTGTCACAGTTGTGGAAGCTGGAAAGTCCAAGATCAAGTCCAGAGATCAAGGTTTGGTCTCTGGTTCCAAGATGGCACCTTGTTGCTGTAAACTCTGGAGAGAAGGAACATTGTGTCCTCAAGTAGCAGAAAAACAGAATAGGGCAAATCCACTCCTGCAAGCCCTTTTTATAGTGGCAGTAGTCCAATATCTCCGCCCTCATGACCTAAACAGCTCCCACTAGGCTCCATGTCCCAACACTGTTGCATTGGGGATTAAGTTTCCAACACATGAATTTTGGGGGTCACATTCAGACCATAGCAAAAGTTATAATAACCATGTGAGGTAAATGGACAGCTATTATCTCCTTATTACAAGTAAGGAAACAGAAGCTTAAGGAAATGAATGCCTTTCCTAGAATCCATAGCAAGTAAACCATAGAATCAGGTTGAACTCAAGATTTTCTGAATCTAAATTGTAATGATATTCTTTGCACTTTACTATAATGCCTCCTAAGGGTATCTAGAGTCTTTTAGACGTATAGGGAGAAGCCTGGTATCATATAGGGGTTACAAATTCAAATGCCTACAGAGGCCAGAGAGCTAATGTAGATGATTGAAGCAGACTGATTATGAGAAAAATTTTGAGGAAGACATGAATACAATAAATATTTCATTTTCCTTTTACTATAAGATAATAAATAGCACATGTGTGATGGTAAATGACAATTATACTTGGCCTCAGCATTGGGGATACAAAAGGTAGGGCCCGTAGCAAACAGCAGAATGCATGCTGCTCATAGACTCATGATAGCCACTGCAGAACCAGCGATCATAGCCACATTCCCAGCAGCAAGAAGGAAGAAGTGGGGAAGAGGGAGGAAGTGGAGAAGGGATAAAGGGCTTTAAAAAGCATTCCCACCCTCCCAAAGTCTTGTGCTTCTATCTCTCCTTGGCCATTGCTATCTGCTAAGGAGAATGAGAAATATAATATTTTATCTGGGCACATTGCTGTCATCAATGTTGATATAGAGTCAGAGAGATCTGGATCCAAGTCTCAGCTTTGCCACTTACTCTTACCAGCTGATGTTAGAGTTATTTTATCTCTCTGAGCCTTACCTGCCTCTTCTGTAAAATGGTCACAATAATACATACTTTGCAAGTATGTTATGAGAATTAGAAATAAGTATTTATATACTGCAGTATTATACAAGTCTGCAACACAGTAGGTTCTTGCACAAAAATGTAGTTTTTATTATCGTTCAACTACAAAGTCATGCATATGTAAGTAGTTAGTAATAGTGGTTCAGTCCATATTATAAATCCAATAGCTCTGAATTATGAATTAAATTCTCCTCAATTATGAAATCCAAATAGCTCTGAAACCTGAAAATTAATTTGTTTGATTAGTTTAAATGCATTTGGTGCCAAACCCTGACCTGAATGAACATATGTATACTTATAATCTTTATTTATATCACTTAGAGTGAATATGCATGTTTTGCTGAGTAAATATTAACGTGTTTGATTATAGAGGGCTGCCTTAGATCCTACAGTGGGTAGTAGATAATGCAACATAATATAAGGTATATATACTATATTATGTTTTTAAAGTCCAAAACTTTTTAAATTCTTAAACACACCTGGCTAGAAGGGTTTCAGATAAGAAACTGTACACTTGTGTTAGTAATAGCAATAATATTTTATGTGGCAAAGCAAATGAATAGCTCCAGTTAAAGACCACTGTTGTGAATTCGTTGAGATTAAATTTGGCCATGTATAACAGAAAACCTAAGTAAGAAGTTTATTTTTCTCTCACTTTCAAGAAGCCCAAAGGCAAGCGGTCGGAGCTAGTATGTGAGATGCAGGCTCCTTCTCTCTTTCTCTGCCAGGCCATCCTTAGTACCATTTGGCCATGTATAACAGAAAACCTAAGTAAGAAGTTTATTTTTCTCTCACTTTCAAGAAGCCCAAAGGCAAGCGGTCAGAGCTAGTATGTGAGATGCAGGCTCCTTCTCTCTTTCTCTGCCAGGCCATCCTTAGTACCATATGACCTCCACCCTCACAATGTCTAATGGTCTCATGATAACCGTCACAAGTGCCAGCCATTTCAGCAACATATTGAGCAGGAAGAGGAGGATGTGGAAGTGGAGGGAAGGGCAAAAGAGCACATGCTTGAGCTTAGCTTATGTTAAAGAGCACTCCCCTCCTAATGCCTTGTGCTTAATCCTCCATTGACCATCTCATCTGCAATGGAGACTAGAAAACACTGTGTCTTATCTGGGCACATTGCTGTCTCCACTATTAATACAAGGATTCTGTTACTAAGGAAAGAGGGGAGAATGGATATTGGGCAAGCGATTAACATTCTCTGCCAAGCCAAGAAATTGGGAATGGAGAGTAACTAAATTAGAAATATGTTTATTCACCTATGTTCCGTGGTGCTTTTGATAGAGAAATAGCAGTTCCTTTTTTGGTATGGATTTGCTTCTTATAAATCAAACTCTATCTTTTTATATCAGCTAAGAAAAAAAAGAGAGGACAGAAAATGGATTCTTTGAGATGAAACTTTTTTTATTCTTTAGGGTTCTACAATTCCCATCAATCAGGCCCGTCCAAATCGCAATCTGACCTTCACCAAGAAGGAGCCGCTTGGGTAAGACAAGGAGAGTGCCTCAAGGGACTCCTAAGAGTTTTGTTAGTTCGAGACAACCAAGGATGTCTTATTTCTTCCCCTGCAGTGTCTGTGCCATTATCATTCCCTGGAATTACCCCCTGATGATGCTGGCATGGAAGAGTGCTGCATGTTTGGCAGCAGGCAATACCTTAGTGCTCAAACCAGCACAGGTAAGAGGCCAAGGGGCCAGGTGCAGAATCTCCTCCTCTCCTACAAACTTAAAAACAGAGACATGCCTTTATAAATAGCATGTCTTTATGCAAAAATGGTATTGTATATTATATCTTTTTTCATATATCATAGACAGCTTTTCATATTAGTAAATATTCATTTTTAATAGCTACCTAAAGCATTGTGTAGAGATTCCATAATTTACAACTTCCATGACAATGGAAACAAGCATAGTGTACGTCAATGAAATCCTTCGAACGTCTACACACCAATTCAATTCCTGCAAAATGCCAAGTGTCCAATAATTAGAGAGTTATTTAGAGTCATTATGATACATTAAAAAAAAAAAGTTTTATGCAGGCATTCAAATTTAATTATCAAAAAAATTGTAAAGGTAAGGGAGATGAGGGAAAAGCATGCAAAAGAATCTACATAATTTTGGCAACTGTATAAAAACATATAGATGTGGGGCCGGCCCAGTGGCACACTCTGTAGAGTGCGGCACTTGGGAGCGCGGCGGCGCTCCCACCTAGGGTTCGGATCCCATATAGAGACCGGTCCGCTCACTGGTTGAGCACGGTGCGGGCGCGACACCGAGGGTTGCGATCCCGTTGTTGTTAGTTTCTTAAGTATTCCAGCAATAGTCTCTGCATGTACAAATATATGTATATGAATATATACATATATATTTTTTAATCCATTTAAAAAAACAAAGGGGGCAAAGGGGAAATGGAAAATTGCTAATCAATGGGCGTAAAGTTTTAATTATGCAAGATGAACAAGTTGTAGATATCTGCTGTACAACCTTGTGCCTATAGCTAACAATACTGTATAATACACTTCAACATGTAAGAGAGTAGATCTCACGTTATGTGTTCTTACCAGAGTAAAATAATATTTAAAAACACACACACATACACAAATAACATACTATACATACTTACCAAAAAAATTTCTTTTTTTAAAGTTTCCATTGTATTTAACAGTATTCCATCTACAGATAAATAATATTCCATAATATCCATTGTAGAAATAAAACATTTTATTTAACCAATTCCTAAGTAATAGATATTTAGATTTTTCCACCCCTTTGTTATAAACTATGCTGCAATTAATAACCTTATAAATATGGCATCATGCACATGTGTAAATAAATGTATAGGCTATGTCTCTAATAGAAGAATCACTTAGTTAAAAGACACATGTGCAAGTACCTGTGTGACAGACATTGACAAATCCTTCCATGGGAGTTGTACCAATTCACCAGCATGTAAGAGTGCTAATTTCCCCAAGCAGCACCACTTATTAAATGGTAATAAGCTAGTAGAGTGAAGAGAGCAGGCAGAAAATCTAGCCGAGTTCTCTTTAAAAAGTACGATGTTCAGGCCCCATTGCCAGAGATTCTGACTTAATCGGTCTAGGTTGGAGCCCAGGCATTGGCATTGCTTAAAAGATTCACATTTGTTTCTAAGGTACAGCCAGGGTGGAGAACCACGAAATGGTATCCAGTGAGAGTGCTAATCATTGAAGAATGCTAATGAGTATATCAGATGTCCAAAAATTATAAACATTTATTGAGTGCATACCAATTATCAGGCACACATCAGTGAAAAGGACACACAAAGTTTCTGTCCATGTGGAAATCAGTCTGGCTCTATCCGTAACTTAAAATGATCATTTACTAACTGATAATTTTCATCCTGAGAATTAAAGACCCGGAGTTGTCATTTTTATATTGGAACTGTCTTTTGTGCAATGATGGTATGAAATCATGTACAGTATTAGGCCCCTGTGTGAACATCAGGAGGACTGAATTTAGATGGCTCCTCTCCTTGATCCTGGTTGTCTGCTTTGTTATATGTATGAAAGATTCCCTCCTGGCTTCACACAGAAGAAGGCACAGTTTCCCATGGCCTAGAGCAGACTGGGCCAGGTCTGGCAGGTTCTGACTGTGTCATTACCCTAATATTTAGCAGTGATGTACTCTTGCTCAGAATGGTGTTAGATGCCTACCTATATATCATGTAAATCTATAATCCTGCTGGGACACTGGTAGCCAAATGGAAGAAAACGAATAGAAATGAAAGGGAATGAGATAAGATGAAACAATTTGTTTTATTTTATTATTAATACTATAAAAAATTTTTTATTCTTACTTTAAAAGAATTATTAATTCAAGATAGTTTTTTATTAATTCATGATGCCACTTTAATCATGATGGCTTCATACCAAGGCACAGTAATATACACTTTGAGTTCAGATCATCTTTAACTATGTGACTATCATGGACCTGTTACTAGAAGGAGGAAAAGTGGTAGCTCTGCCTTTTTCTTGTTTGCTGTGTTAGTATTATCATTTATTTTATTTTATTTTTTAATTAATTTATTGAATCAAAATCGATTATACATATTTTTGGGGTTGAACATTGAGATATGTTGATTAAATCAATATTTCTAGCATATATAATGTCACAAATCGTAATTATTCTTTATGCCCCTTGTCCAACTTCTCCCCTTCCCTCATTCCCTCCCCCTCCCCCCTCTAATTGCCCTAGATTTCTTCTCTCCTTCTGAAAGAATCATGGTTACTCTGTTGATTTGTTGCCTAGATGATACATCCAATGCTGAGAGATGTGATCAGGTCCCCCAATATTATCAGAGAGCAGATGCTTCTTCTGTCACTCTGAA